CCCCAAAACCCCAAAACCCCAAAACCCCATATGCTATAATAAGAAAAGAGGAGGTAAATATTATAATCTTAGTAGATATGGAATCACAAAGAAATTTGCTAATTGAGACCGACCAACTTGCTGAACTGATCGAGAGCAATCCAGACAACCTCAAACTTGTCTGTGGCACCTGGAACAAAGATCCTGATGCTGTCGATGCTAAGGAACAGTTTAATGAAGCTCATATTGAAGGTAGCGTTTACTTTAGCCATGCTGAAGTAGCTGATCCGTCAGCAGAGTTCCGCTCTACTTGGCCATCCACCGAGTTTTTCATCAGTGAAATGAAAAGGCTTGGAATCAAGAAAAATCATACTATCGTCCTCTACGATCACGAAAATATCTTTTCTGTGTGTAGACCATCCTACATGCTTAGGTCTTTTGGAGCAAAAGATGTGCGTGTTTTGAACGGATGTCTCAAAAAGTGGATTAGTGAAGGAAGAAAAGTAACAACAGGATACCCACAAGACATAAATGACACTTCAGATGAAGGATACGATTATGAGTTAGATCATGACGCTTGCACTTGTTACGACTCTACCTTCGAAAAGGTTGCAGCTGCTGAAAAAGGAGAAACTGACCAATACGAATTCGTTGATGTCAGAGATTCAAAAAGATTTAGAGAAGGTCACCCTCATGGCTTCAAAAATCAATGCTACCAATGTCTTCTGACAGAAGACAATTCAGCTTTTAAATCCAAGGAAGAGATATCCAAGCAAATGGAGGAAGATGGCGTAGATACTAGAAAGCATATCGTATTCTCCTGTGGGTCAGGAGTCACTGCCTGCATCAGTGAGTTAGCTGCAGAAGTTGTTGGCGTCGAAAAGACATCAGTGTACGATGGATCCTACACAGAATACTCCAAAAGAGGCAAGCCTGATTTCCTCTAAAAAGGAGTTATACGTAAAATGAACTTTGCTTAATATCCTTGCCACATTTCTTGAGCTAACTTAATTCAAACTAGGGCTACATGAGTTCAGGTCTTCAACTATTAGCAAGACTATTATAACTCAGATCTAAATTAGAGTAGCTCAGAAAATTTTACTATGACTCTTCCTCTAAATTTATCATTTGTATTAGCTCATGAATTTCAAGAATCCTAATATATTTTGGGGTTTTGGGGTTTTGGGGTTTTGGGGTTTTGGGG